TTACTGTACATATTTGCATATGTTACCAGTACGTATTTAATTAAAAGTTTAAAACATCTTTCTGTGTAAATACCGGTAGCTCATGTTACAACATGGGACACTCGCAGCTTATAGACAAGTGTGGCCAATATATGTACAAAACTATTATGGTTTTATTTTATTTAGTGGTCGCGACTTATATTCAGGTGCACTCAACAGTCCAGAAATTACAGTACTTTTGATGTTAGAGTACTTTCTTTGTTCTCATCAAAGACGGATCTAGCTAGATGACCTGACTTAACCTTGTTAGATATTCAACATATATTTACAAAAGTTGGAAATAACAGAAAAATGGAGAAAAATAATTATACCAGCCCATATTTACAGTTCAGTGAAAATAAAGTTATGCCTTCAAATAAGTTGTAGATTTCTCATATATTTACTTTGTGTTTGTTGTTTGTTTTTCAGTAATTTTGAACAAAACCATTTATCAGTTTAGTTAGGTCATCCTGAACATGGTTACAGCAAAGTTGCAGTACCCTGTGATATGGTTAAAGTGTTGATGTATTTATAGTTGATGTTCCATTGTGTAACATTTTAACTGATCTACACATACTGGTAGTTAATTTCTTGTTGGCCACCTACAGTATCCTAAAAGGGACAAATCAAAGATTCAAGCCATAATAGGCGTTGTGCATTTTTACTAAAATTATTGGTAAAATAAAGTGAGGAGTAGTTAGTTGGTAGCAATATATGTCATTTGATACATGGTTCTTTTAAAATTGCCCAGTGTACAGGACAGTCACATTCCTATCAGAGACTCAGTCCCTTCTTTTTTTGTATCCAAGTGCATCATTTTTTTTTCAATCTGTTTTTAAATTCTGTTTTATCCTTCCAAAGTAAAATCTTCAATCAACTCCAAGTCCCTTAGAAATTTCAAGATCAAACCATAGATGTATTAAGTCTTTTATTCTTTGAGGATTTAAAGCAGCTGTTTTATGGTAGCTGCCATGTTGCTTTTTTTTTTTTTTTTTTTACCAGTTTTTGTGCACACGTGATGTTGGGCTTTTGGTCCCACCTACTCCACAACACACATCACTTGTTGAATTTCTTCATCTTAAAATGGTTTGGGCTGCAAAAGATGCAAAGTTAACGTTAGTGTTTGTTTTTTTTATGGCTGTCACTGCACCCTTAATTTTGAGTATCTCAAACCTGACATGCAGATTGCATCGAAAAACAAAGCACAAATGTTCAGCCTGTAGAGTCAGACTTTAGGTTTTCTGTCCCTTGTTACTCTTTCAGATCCTTTGCTTTTACTGGCAGGTCTTCTCCCCAAAGCAGCAGGCTATAAATATGTCCCCTCAGAATGCCCACATCCTTACCCTTAAAATAAATCGTGTGCCTCAGCCGAGGCAGACACATGGCACCTACCAGGACAGTGTCATCTGTCTACACGAACAGTAAATGAGACAAGCTGAGCTCTTGATTCAAGACGTTAAAACACACACACAGAAAACAAGAGGAGAAAACTCCCCTGTAACACTTTGGGAACTAAGCAGCTCTGGTTCACTTCAGGGTGCTGAATAAATTGATGCAAGTTTCAGCCCGTTGCAGCCTCTAAATCAGCCTTGCCCGTCACTCCATTTGCTGCTGGCTGACCCATTGTAACAGAAGAGTGACTGGAGATCATCAGAGGGACTGACTCAGTCCTGCCTACTCCCGCAGCACTGTGGGTCTGGCACTCTGTACAGGTGGAAAACGGAAGCGGGTGAGTGGGTAATCATAAGGGTGTTGGCCTCTTTTCTGCCCACATATACAAAAAAAAAGAGCAAAACCCACAACTATGGACTTCTTACTAGCTCGCTGTGTGTGTGTTTTACATCATCACACAGTTTCAGCACTGAGGAATACAGACAAGAAGGAAAAGGAGAGAGAAATCCAAAAAGCAGAACTTGTTCCTGCTGACCTCCAGAGGGAAGAAGTGTTCAGGATTTGTGGAGGACCTAGCTCAGTCTAAGACGATAAAAAAAGAGAAAATTTAAGGGGTCATAATAAATTCTAAAAAATGCATTTTGCTTGTTTTCCTTTGCATTTTTTTCCTACAGTAAATAGAGAAAAGTGGAAACGTCCAAACCAAGCATAGCACATTAATTCATAAGGAGCTGCTGAAAACACCTGGTTGACAAATTCAAAGTCCCCCCTTGACTTTGTCAGTCAAGACCTTACCCGTCTCAAGCATAATCCTCTCGCTAATATTCTTTCCTTCCGTCTTTAGGGGAGCGTTGCTGTTGTAAGGGTCTAAGCTGGAAACGGTCCGCAGTTGTTTTCCTTGCTAAAACACCTGTCTAAACAGCAGCAAAGCCAAGGGCGAGTCTCGCCTGTCAGCGCCGGTGACAGCTTTGGACAAAAAATTCAGCAGAGACATATCCTAAGACGTCCGCTCATGTGAAACAATGCACGTGCGCAGGAATGACCCCACCTGGGCTGCCTCACTCGCCGTTAAGACACACGATCTGCAGTACATCTGCAACAAAAAGTCACGTTCAGCACGAGAAGCTATAATAGAAGATATTCTTAATCTCTAAACATGCCAGTGTATTTATTCGACATTGACTCAGCTAAAAAAAAAAAGGTTCATTACTTGAACCTCTTTTACAGTGAAGTGAGAGCAACAAAAGACGAGACAGTGCAGGTGATTAATTAATACAGCTTACGACCATTTATAAAGACGTTTGGATCATCTGTCCAGAGTGGACTTAGGAACTTTTTCAGTGAAGATTTACTGAACAAAGACCAGGTGGCTCATTAGCTACCAGGGATTAGTTAGGTCTATATAGAGGAGGATCACGGGGGTGGTCAAATTTCTGCCCTTGCGCTTGAATTTCAACGCCCGGACCTTTAATTTTCAACGTCCTTATCGGCAATAGTCCAGATCCCATGATCTGACGCTCACATGACCTCCTCCGGGGGCCTCTTCTATTTGGATTTTGTTCTCGGCATCAAGTGAAAAATTACAGTGACACCCAGCCCCAAATGTGGCAAAAGCTAACAAAGGTTGAGTAATGAGAAAAGTCTGCGCACATTATCCAGAGCTCTCAAGGAGAACAGTAAAACTATATTTCACAAACTGCCTGCTAATTCAGTTTTAACAAAATTACTTTTTAATACTTTGCAGGCTCCAGTGCAGTACTTTGAGAAGCATACCACATGTATTTAAAAATTAGGTCAATGTTTTATCATGTTTTCATTGACAGTTGATATATAGAGATTAGACACCTGAAAAGCATCATGCTGTAGCACATGTAATGTCTTTAAGTTACTCGTTGCAAAGTATGGAATCAAACAGAAAGCCTTTCTGAAGTAGAAACAGTTTGAAAGAGTTTACTGCAGTATTTTCCCGATACATTGATTTGCCATTCTAAAATGCAGGTATGCACTTCACAACAACGCTGATAAAAATCCCTTCTTGTAATTCAATTTATGGATGGATGGATGGATGGATGGATGGATGGATGGATGGATGGATG